TCTCTCTCTGGGTACCTGTCTGTCAGTGTCAGCGGTGTGTGTCTATGTCAGCTCTCTGTCTGTCTCTCTCTTGGTACCTGTCTGTCAGTGTCAGCAGTGTGTGTCTGTGTCTGCTCTCTGTCTGTCTCTCTCTGGGTACCTGTCTGTCAGTGTCAGGGGTGTGTGTCTGTGTCTGCTCTCTGTGTGTCTCTCTCTTGGTACCTGTCTGTCAGTGTCAGCGGTGTGTATCAGCCTTCTGTCTCTTCTTGACCTTTTAAATGAACAGCTGGTGACCATAATTACATTCATCAGTAGTTAAGGAAATGCAGAAGGGAGAGAGGAGGAGGGAGAGAGAGATGGATAGAGAGATGGGAGAGAGGGACAGAATCATTCATACTGCCAGAGTTGCTGGAAGAGTTGTGCGTTCATATCTCAACTTTGTTCACTGATTTTCCTGCTGGATTCATATGGACTTGGGCTATCTTCTGTGCTGGATTACTCAGGACACTGGACTAATTATCTCAAAGGAGTAATTAAGACATTCAATTTACCATCACGCTGGATTGATTAAAACACTGGACTAGTTTGCAGGCTGGATTAATTAAAACCTGGACTATTTATCACACTCGACTGATTATGGGACTCTGGACTAATTGAAGCACTGGATTCCTTTGAATTAATTTAAACTAGAAGCTACACACTAGTACACGGTATTGGTATCAACATTTATGTTTTGGTGGAATTATTTTGATCTGCATCATTAATCATCAATCACACTCTCTCTCCTTCTGTCCATCCCCTCTCTCTTTTCCTACCTACCTCTCTCTGTCCCTTTCTGTCCCCATCTTCCTCTCTCCCCGTCTCCCTCTCTCACTCCCTGTCTCTCTCTCTTACTCCCTGTCTCACTCTCTCTCTCCCTGTCTCTCTCTCAGGTGGCTCGGGATGCCCGCTATAGTGAACCTACTTTTCGAGTCGGTCTCGGCCGACACCACCATCTCTCTCTCTCACTCCTTGTCTCCCTCTCTCTCTCCCTGTCTCCCTTTCTCCCTGTCTCTCTCTCAGGTGGCTCAGGATGCCCGCAATAGTGAACCTGCTCTTCATGTCGGTCTCGGCCGACACCACCATCTGTCTCTCTCACTCCCTGTCTCTCTTTCTCCCTGTCTCTCTCTCAGGTGGCTCAGGATGCCCGCGATAGTGAACCTGCTCTTCGAGTCAGTCTCGGCCGACACCACCATCTGTCTCTCTCACTCCCTGTCTCTCTCTCTCTCTCCCTGTCTCTCTCTCAGGTGGCTCAGGATGCCCGCGATAGTGAACCTGCTCTTTGAGTCGGTCTCGGCCGACACCACCATCTGTCTCTCTCACTCCCTGTCTCTCTCTCTCTCTCCCTGTCTCTCTCTCAGGTGGCTCAGGATGCCTGCGATAGTGAACCTGCTCTTTGAGTCAGTCTCGGCCGACACCACCATCTCCTTCTCGCTGGTGCTGCCGCTGTTCAGCGTGCTGGCGCTGCTGGCGGGGGTGGGGGGCCACCTGCTGGTCTGGCTGGTGCTGCTGCGCCAGCGCCAGCGCCGGGCCCGGCCCAGCTCCGTGCTGCTGCTCAACCTGAGCCTAGCGGACCTGGGTGCGCTGCTGGCACTGCCCTGCGTGCTGCTGACCGCGGCCGGCCGCGGCTGGCGCCTAGGCGGCCACACCTGCGTCTTCCTGGCCTTCTCCACCTCGCTGACCGCCGGCGTGGACATCTTCAGCCTGGCCGCCATGTCCGTGCTGCGGCACCGCATCGTCACCGCGCCCGCCAGCCCCCCACTGCGGCCCTGGCACCTGTGAGTGAGGGCGGGGCGCGGGGTCGAGGGTTTGGGGGCGCAGGTGTGCTAGCCAGCTGTGACTGCAGTGGTGGTGGGGGGAGACACGTTTCGCTGGTCTGGCAGGGGCAGAGGTCATGCTGAGCTGCACTGTGAAGGTCAAATTTCATGCAGGGCTGCTCTGTGAGGGTCAAGGGTCATGCAGAGTTGGTCTGTTAGGGTCAAGGGTCATGCAGAGATGGTGTGTCATGGGCAGAGGTCATGCAGGGCTGCTCTGTGAGGGTCAAAGGTCATGTAGAGATG